ATTAGGACTGTTAGTTAAATTGATAGTTCTAATTATCTATTTTGGTTAAATGATATGCATTACTTATAAACAAACAGTAAAAATTAGCAAAAAGTTGGCAAATTTTGTGGCTTTGATTAATTATAATTTTATTATAAACCACTTTTAAAATTTTAAAAACAGGTTTATTAAATGCTAAAAAAGTTGCAAAATACAACTGAGAAATTAAACTGATGACTTTTTTTAATTGAATAAGCCTAAAAACTAAAAATTTTTGAAATTTTATATATAAAATTTAGATATGTTAATCATTTGATATATAATTAAAAATTTTATATATCATATATTATATGACTGATACAATAAGTAATAGAGATCTATTTAATAGAATTTTTTTATTATTTCTAGTTAAATAGAATCATCTTAGTTAATTAGACTTAAAACATATTTGTGAACTTTAAACTGAACTTCAAACCAAACCAAACTTGGTTAAAAAGTTTGTAATTAAACTCAAACTAAATATAGTTTAAGATGTAGCAGCTTATTGAAGTGGTCTAGTTGTTACTTCATCAAGCAGCAGGTCTAAAGTTCAAATCCAACAAACGACAATTTTGAAAAATTAAATTTGTGCTTGGTAATGATTATCTATTGATCAGTTGGATTTATAATCCATAATCTTGGTTGCATTATCTCATTATAAAAGCTTTGGCATATAAATACCAAGAAACTGGAATGATCAAAATCTGTTTAGAAAGACCTGAGTAAAGAATAGTAAAAACTTTTGATGGTGCTACAGGAAGACTAAATTCAGAACTGGAAAACTGAGACTGGAGAACTGAGTAATCAGGTCTTTAAATGGGGGACACATTAGCCAAACTGCCAAATCACCAACTAGAGGAAAAGGATATGTGCTCTAGAAGTATGTACTAAGAGAAGGAAGATCATAAAGCACCTAAAGCCTGGGCAGACCAACTCTTCTGGGTTGCTAGCTAAAAACAAAAGAGAAACTGATAAAGAATCTGGGAAAGAAAAAAAGTTCAAATATGGGTACTGGGATAGAAATGAACCTTACGAAGATAGGAGATATGTGTGGCTTGAGTAACTGGGCTCCCTAGTATATGGGTAAAGCTATAGCACAATATCTTTGAACCAAATCTGGAAATATGTAGGATGTAGAAAAATTTAAAAAGCATTTACTGCACTCTTCCTCAGGTAAATACTAGTTGATTAGATTCGAAGGGTTTATCTATAAAGAGATAAAATTAGTGAAGGAATACTAGCCTAGGTGGCCTTTGTACAGTATGAAATAAAACAGTTTGAACCAAATAGAGTAGTGCAGGACTGGGAATATCAGAAAGTTTAAACGAGTAACTCCCTAGTTGGTTATAGGTATAACATCTAGTGTAAAACCTTTGGGCAGACTACTTAAATAAACATCCAAAAGATGCACATGTGGCTTGATATACTCTCACTTGTAAAAGTCAGAGAGCTTAAATAGATAATCTCCTAGTTAAATTGCAGGCATGGCAGCTAGTGTAGAACTCAGACAGACCACTTAAAATAGATAACCAAAAATTGTACATGTGGCTAGTTGTACCCTCATCATAATTGTAAACGTTGTTAATTATCTAATAAAAAGCCTCTGGCTATAGAGGTCACCTTAACACTGAAAAAAATAAAATAAAATAAAGTCTAAATACAATATGAGGCCCTTGCATTGCTATTATAACTATAGAGTTTAACTACAATATAAGGTCTATACACTGCTATTATAGTTGCAGAGCTTAATCACCAAATATAAAAACCTTGTACTGCCTATGATAATCATAGAGTCTAATTACAATATTGAATTTTTATATTGCTATTACAACTATAAAATCTAATTATGATATAAGATTCTTGTATTTCTATTGTAGTTATAGTGCTTAATTACTAAATATAGATACATCTTCTAAGTACATACTTTCTAAGTGCAAGTACTATATAAAGCCTCTCTAAATATATGTTCTAAATTGGTTTTAACTTATAAGAGTTCTATATATTTTACTTTTTATAAATATAAACACTCTCTAAATGTAAAATTTTAATTTTTTTTACTATGATTCTGACAAAATGCACTTAGAAAAGTGTGATTATATAAAATTTTTTATTGCTTATAGTAGCTATAGAGCCTAATTACAATATAAGGTTCTTGTATTGCTATCATAGTTATGGTGCTTAATCACCAAATATATTGTTTTTGCATTGTCTACAGTAGCTATAAAGCCTAATTATAGTGTAAGATTCTTGTATTACTATTGTAATTATTATTATATATAAGATTCTTATATTATTTTATTATTAACTCTTCCCGTCAATCACTCGTACAAAAATTTTCCTAAAAACAACTCGACAAATATTCTATTTTTGCAATAATTTACTAAGACAGCATTATCTCTTGCCCTAACAAAACTTTCTCTACGTAGAAAATTATATATAATACTTAAATTTTAAAGAGATAGCTCTTAAACTCCTTAAACAACGGCCCTCCAGGCCAAATAAGCCTCTTTTGCCATTTACGCAAAATCTAGATTCTAAACTTTATTACAAAGCATATTACAAGTTACTCTACACATTTTTCTCTTCAAAACAAGCTATAATAGACCCTTGTAGCCTTAAAACTGACCGAGTTACAAGCAAAACAATTTTTAACTCCGTTTACTTTTTTCTCTCCTCTTTACCTTGGGAATTTTTCTCTTTCCAAATAACTAGAGACGTTTTTCGTGTAACTAAGGTTACTCTAGCCGTGCCACCCACATTCTACAATATTTAAAAACTATTAGTGCCTTTTTGGCATATCTCATACCAAATCCATATCTTTGTTTAGGACCATGCGACTGTACAATATTAGAGGTTTGTTTAAACCTCACAAGGTGCTAAAATGATAATGGTTGAGGCAACTTATTTGACTCAATTTTTTTAATTTGATATATCAGTACAAATGCCTCATCTTTATTAATTCTATTATTATTGTACCAGCGTTTAGAAATAAGTGTAATATGAAATTGTGTATTAATAGAATAAGATATAATCTAAAAGAAATGTCTATACACGAGGCCACAATTGACAAGCCAAAGACATGTGCACAAGTGTGAGCTGTCTTTAAATATGATAATATATTGCAGATCTGTTTGCTGTCTTTTATGTCTAGTAATTTTCCAAACTTCTTGAACACAATCCTGAGGTATATCTTCGAGCAAAGAAGAAAATAAAGACTGAGGCTGATCGTAGTCATCTTCTTTAGCCATTTCTTCCTGGTAAGAGTCATTAGTTGTCTAAAGTAAAAAGAAAAAAAAATATTTAGTAATAGGTTCGAACTTAATAAGTTCAAACTTTTCAATTCTAACTTTAGTCTAATATCCTTACCTGTAGGAGTGCTAACTAATTATCAACTAATACAGTGTTATAGCATATTGATTGGGCCATTTGATCTAGTTGTTTCTGAAGTATTTGTGGCATGAGACATTCTTTCAACATCTTATCTAACTCAGAGAAGTATTTGTCCATTATAGTTAGTATATCTTTTGTTGGTATTTCATTTTTGCACTCAGCTAATACTACCTTTTTTGATTGTTGATCAAATATTTTTTGAATCTCTCCAACAACATTCATTAGCCATGAAGTTCTGCTGAGTTTATCTTTGATAATTTTATTGGTTACTTCAGCTCGCTGGGTACTCTAAATTCCCGCGGTAAAATATCGATTTATGGCATAACTCGCCCAACTTGTCTTACAGGGGTATAAAACATTCATAAGATAACTTTTATATGCTAGATATTTATTAATAAGGTTTTTCCATTTTGATTCAAATTTCTTATAGCATAAAGTGTTATGCATCTCCAAAAACCTAGTACGAAAAGACCTGAATTGTTCATGTAATGTACTCTTAAGCTTCTTTCTTAAATTTAAATCAATATAAAAAATACAATGGAGATGTCGTGTATCTGGATAGTTCTTTCACATAGCTGATAGTAAAGCAGGGTCAGTATCAGAATATAGTACTGTAGGTGCAATTTTACACAAATTTTTTAGCTCTTGCAAAACCCAAGTAAATGTTGATTCAGTTTCGTCCTCTATAATTGCTGATGCCACAATCAAATTTCTAAAATTGTTATTAACCACTATGAATAGCATCAATGTCATATCAAACTGGTTAGTTTTGGATATTGTGTTTATGACTACAACATCATGATATCGTTCATAAGTACTAATTTAATCGGGAACTATCCAGAACAATAAATTAAGTCGTCTTTCTTCTGAATTAAACCATGGTTTAACTATTCACATTGGATCTTTTTCTTTCTTTGAATATAAGTTATTGAGCATTTTACATACATCGTTTTTACTAGGTTTCACCTGACTTTTGAACCGCTGAATTGCATTACTTAAATTTTTCTTATTAATAACTTGGCCTGGAAATGATGCAACTAACAAATTATATTGGGTTGGTAAGCCTAATTTTCTATAAATAGTCCAAAATTTGACTTTTTCAGACATTTCATATGTTAACTTTCGATATTTTAGTGCTATCTTAGTAACAAGAGTATTTATTTCGTGATTGTGTTCACCTAAAATACTGTTAATACGAACTTCTTTTTCTGTTTTAGGGAATGCCAAATTAATGTGCCAAGGACAATCGATCATTGCAGAATCTCTGTCTCTCTTATCTTCTGCCAGAATAGTCTTTTCAGGTTTATATATCCAAGCATGTGAATATTCATATGTTCGCCGTCTTGTTATGGTGTAATCATTGGGGTCAACAACTCATCTTCTCTTTTGAAAGCTGAACCCCTCCTGCTTCGCATAATCGATAAGGTATGATTTGGCAAGTTCTCATGTACTAAACTTCATTCCTTTACGTAGTACTAATAAATTATTTTTTCTTTCCTCCTTATTTTCACTATCTTCGTGCTTATTATTTTCCCTCTTATCATAAATTCTATTATCTGCACCTTCTGGTTGAGCCTCAACATCCAATTCAGTTAATGCATTACTAGAGCTTGGAAATTAATATAAGTTGACATAGCACTATTATATCTATAGGGGCCAGGATAAGGTAACGACGAAGTATTTATATTATCATAATACTTATAGGTATTTGGATAAAATGATAAAATGTTTTCAATATTATGTTCATAGCTAAAATAAGGTAAGGCGAGTTCGTATGTATTAAAACAAGGTAGTAAAAAATCAGATATAATATCCTGTTCATAGATGTTAAAGTGAGAGGGCGATGAGCTATCTATTTGATCATGATTATAGGCGTTGAAATAAGACAACAACGATGACGATGACGTATTCGACATTTGACTCATAGGAACTGATGAAGTGTAATCAAACTTCTTGGGCTTCATGGTAAATAAATGGCACGTGAACTTTGGTAGTTAGGTGTTGAAAATTGTGGTTAGTTGTATTTAAAAAAGTGTATTTGGTATTAAGAAAGAGAGTGCGATTAGATGTAAAAAAAAAAAAAAAAAGTTAATAAAAATAAATAAATTTGATAGACTATCAAATTAAATATATAGGTGACATTATCTAGGTGAAATCACTCCTAGTTAAAATTAGTTATAGACAAAAATAGATATCATTTTAATGTATTTGAAAGTAAGGGTTTATATAAATTTAATAAAAGCAAAATCTTTACCATTTTTGAAAGCAAATCATTAATCTAAACCATATAAGATTTAACCATTTCACATAGTTGTGATTTTGTTTAATATATACAAATTGGACTAATGTAAACAATATTATAAAAATGAAAATTATTAATTAATTGCAAATAGTATCAAATTATTTAGATTCTATCTAAAAGAAATAAAATTTTATTAAATAATAAATTTATTTAATAAACTTAAAATAGTGTGAAAATTTACAAAATATACTAAATAGTTTAATCTAGAATATTCAATACTTAAAAAAATATTTAAATATAAAAAATAGAATTATAATAGTAAAATTCAAAATAATTTGAAATAATTTAAAATAATTAAATTTTGTATAAGTAATATTGATTTTAATAAATATATATAACTAATATGAATTGTTGAAAATTGATTTAATATAAATAATATAAGTTTCTATTAAATATTCTAAATAGTGAAAATTGGATTTATTTATTTCACTTTAACTTAATTTTGTTTTAAAATTTTAAAATTTGCATCAAAGTAATTTATTATAAATATAATCAGACTATAGTGATATGATTTAATTTAGTTAAACTTTATATAAAATTTGTTAGTATTTAATGAAGCTTCAAATTAATTCAAATTAATTTAATATAACTTTAAAAATTTAAATAATAAATTTGGCAAATATACTAAAATTTTATTAATTATATAAAAAATAGGTTCAAAATTATTTTGAATTAGTTTAAATAATTTTAAATAATCATTATATATTTTTTCTCTTTAATTATCCTATTTATGATAATAGATTTATTTATTGTGAAATAAAGTGATTTAATTTAAAATATTTCAAATTAGTTTATTATTATCAAGTAGTAGATAGTAAAGTCTAGAATATTAGATTTTTCAAAAATAGAAATTTTATTAATATTAAAATAATTTTAATTATTTTAATTTTATTTAATCTTAATCGAATTAGTTCAATATATTTTTTCATAATATTGCGCAAAATATTACAAAATATTTCGCAATATCTTACATTATATTTCGTAATAATTTTGCATAATATTTCATATTTATATATTTCGCAATATTGCACAATTTTTTGTATAATATTATGCCTTTTTTACTTAGCGTAATTTATTGTGCAATATTATGCTCTATTAAATTTGCTAATATAGCTATTAGGTGCAAAAAAGTAAAATTATAAGAGTTTTGTCTAGTATTAAAAGAATAAAAAAGAGTTATAGTCTAACTATACTAGAAAAAATTAAAGGTTATTAAAAAAAGCTCAAAGAGATAATAATAAAAACAGGAAAATTAATAGTCAAGAAAATAGTAAAAGTAGTAATATATAATACAAGTTTTGTTGAGTAGCAAGAGTTTGAGCTATAGTTTAAAGTAGAACTATTTTGCCAAATTAAAAAGAATATAAAAAAAGAAAAAAATGAAAATGTTTTTTATATAGATAAATCATTATTAAAGAAAGATTCTAAGTATCAAATAAAAGCAAGTTGGATACAAGTTGATATAAATAAGATAAGAATTATTATAGAAAAAAAAATTAAAGTTTAAAAATGGCTATTATTAACAAAAATAAAACTAGTAGCAGTATTAATAGTAGTTTTAACAGTAACTAGCAATAGTATAGTAGCAATAAAGTTAGATAGCATAGTAGCAATTGCAAGTTTAAGCAGACTTTTAGTGTTAAAGAACTTATGTACATAGAGTAAGCAAAAGAACTATATATTAGTAGTTTAAATTAAAGGTTTTTATAAATTAAAGAATGTTAATCTTAAACTAGTTAAAGTCAAAGTATATATAAATATAAAGTAAAATGAAAGAGCAAACAAGCTAGCTAAAAAAAAGACTATACTAAATTAATATACAACTTTAAAAATCTTTGAAAATTTTTGTTTTTTATATGTTGCTATAAAACAAGATACTAGTTAAGATACCAATCAAGAGATTTATCAAGCTAGTAATTAAGCTAGTGTTTAGAATAAAAATAAGTGCTAAGTGGTTACTTAAAGCTCTCAAGTTATTAAAAAACTAAAGTATAATTAGAAAAAGATATAGATAAAAAATAAGAAAAAAATTAAAACAAAATATAAATTACTAGCAACAAGTAGAAGTATAGAATTTCAAATTAAATATATAAATAATAATTTGCTTATTATTACAAAATTGAAAGAAAAAAAACCAGAACTGTATATAACAAATAAGTATATAAAATACAGAAAAGAAAAAAAATATTAAGTTATTTGCTAGTATATAAAAGACTTAGTAGTTTTTAGAATATAATCAAAAGTATTATATACTTATTAGTATAAAAAAAACTTTTAAGAAAGTTTAGAAAGAAAGTGACTAAAATAAAGCTAAAAAAGATACTAACTAGTAATATATAAAAGACAAGTTTTTTGTATAAAAAGAGCTATATTAGAGATCTAATACTAGTTAAGATAGAAAAGGTTTATTGGCAAAAAGCTTACCAAAGAAAAAACTAGCAAAAATAGCAAAAATTTTAGCCAGCTAGTAGAAGAAAGTTTTTATAAAGAAATTTGACAAAAGAATACAAAGCTATTATAATATAAAAAAAATTAGTTGATATATCTACAACTAAAAAATACAAAGGTAAAAATAAAAAAAACAGGAAAGATATTATAGTATCAAAAATAGAAGAAGAAAAAAGACAGAAAATAAATTCATTAGAAGTAGATAAAAATACGGAAAAAACTAAATATAAAAAAAAAAAAAATACAGAAAAAGTTAAAAAAGTAATACAGAATAGTATAGCTCTATTTTGGTTTAGTTCTTAATAAAGCTAACAAAATTTTTCTATTTATATATACTGTAAATTAGTATGACAAATTATATTTGGATATAGTATATATATGTAGCCAGATAATGCTAGGCTTGCTATTTTTAAAATTAGTTTACTAATAGTAATTTTAAATTTATAAAATTTTATTATTAGTAAATATTTTATATTTGAGCTCTAATAAAACTATCAAAAAGTTAAAAAAAATTTAAAGAGTTTACTAAAAAATTGTAAATTATTTTTTTAGTTAAAAAATTTTTTTAGAATTATATATATATTTTTAGCTTATAAGCAATCTTAATTTTTGTTTTATAATATAAATATAAATATTGTAAAAATCTAATTTTTATTTTTAAATATTATTATATTAAATTTTACTATAAGTTGTTACTTTACCAAGCAGCAGATTCAAAGTTTGAATTCTATAAATAATATTTTCAAAAAATAAATCTGTATTATAGTAATAATTATTTATTAATCAGTTGAATTTAGAATTTGTAATCTTGGTTGTACTATCTAGTATAGAAGCTTTAGCATATAAATATTAAGAAACTAAAATGATTAAAACTTGTTTAGAAAGATCCAAGTAAGAAGTAACTACAATTTTTGATAGTGTTACAGGAAAAACCTAAGTTTGGAAGTTAAAACCAAGATTGAAGAATCAAATAACAATAAAATCTTTTAGCAAGAAAATTTACCAACCTGATCACTAATTTAGAAAAGTTAAAAATCTATAAGATTATTATAGAATATATTAACTCTAGCTAGCTAGTATAAGAAACTAGTAGTAAGAGGCTCTACTTACTAGACCAGAGATTATAGAAGTTGAGCAAGAAACTAGTCAAATAAAAAAATAATAAATGTGTTTAAAGAACTAGTCTATTAAATTAAAAAAAAAAGATATATGCTAAAAAATTATATATTAAAACAAGATGAGGGTATTAAATATTTAAAACCAAGCCAAAATTGAATTTTCTAAATTATTGGTTTGAAATAAGAGATAGACTAATAAGGAAATAATAAAAAAAAGAAAGTTTAAATATGAGTACTAGAATTAAGAAATAAATCTTATAAAGGCAAAAGTAGTTAAATGAAAAAAACCTAATTGCAAATAAGAGTTTTGGCAACTATATAAAACCAAATTAGTCTAAATAGGATAAAAAAAACTCTAGTAGGTTTATCTTAAGAATAGTCATATATTTACTTAATAGAGAAATGCAAGCTAGTAATAGTCAATACAAACCTAAAATAAGTTATAAAAGTTTTAAAGCTAAATTGTGCAATCTAGTAGAATGAGCCAGATAATAGTTTTTGGATTAGTATAATATATATGTATACTAATAAATAGTTAGAATTAGAAGATTTAAAGATAACTCTCTAGTTGGATTATAAGTATAATATCTAGTGTAGAACCTGTAAACAGGCTACTTAAATAAGTACTCAAAAGATATATATATATGCGGCTAGTTATATCTTCATTATAACTATAATAGCAAATAATTACTAATAAAGAATTCTAAACCAAAAAGGTTACTTTAATACTAAAAAATATATATATTGTTATATAGAAAGCTAGCCTTGCTAACTATACTACTTGACTTAACATAAAGAAGGTAAGGATATGTGTATACAAAAGGTAAAACTTAAATAAAACTCAAAGAAAACTCAAATATAACTCAAAGGAAATAAACTCAGAGGATATAAATTCAAAAATAACTCAGATTATAGGATATAAAATATAGGAAATAGGAATATAAACAGAATAAAAACTTAAAAAAAACTTAAAAAAAACACTATAAAATTACTATAAAAACTTAATAAAAAGAGCATATACATTGTAGTGGATATATATATGGTCAAAGATATATTATTTATTTAATAGGGAAAAGATTAGGAAAATACAAGTTAG